TTTCTCATAGCATTGTTGAGGAGATTAAATGAGAAAATACATGCAAGTGTATTAGTACATTGCTTGCGTTCAACGACTAGCAGCTGTTACCATTGTTAATGGTTCATTTGAGCCATTTGGAAAAATGGAAAAACACAATTAGTGTTCACACATCATTAGGTTAAGTGACTATTGCTATAGACTCATACCTCATGTGGGCTGAATTTTAAATGAATGCACTAAAGAAAATGTATTTATTTGCAAACATTAATAATTAATAGCAAATGCAACCAACCACTGAAAAAGAGTATGTGGAATTGCCTATCGCCTACCATGTTCTTACAGACATGCTTTCAACTCTGCATGGTGTGAAAAGATTAATACATGTTGTTTTCCAAAGCCCAATGGAAAAAACGATTGCCAATTCAAAGTATGAAGTACAATAGTGAAATCTTGTTCGTATGTTTCTCATAGCCCTTTTGCATCTGCTGGGGATTCTTTTGTTGTAAATTTTTTTATTGTTTATATTTCATTGTCTCAACCCACATCCAATTTTTCCTCAACTTGAACCCATCCTAGGAGTCTCAGCTTAGTGACACTTTTTCTGGCACACTTCCCTTGACCACCCACTTAAAGGGATCGTTCACTTTCTTCCCTCTGCATACTTGCAAATGCCGTTCCCAAATTCAGTTATTTTTTCTTGTCAATTCTTTCATAAAACTTCATGGACATTTCTTTCTTCCCTTTGCACTAGTCCTAAGCCGTAGCACATTACTGGCTGAACTTGGCTCATTTGTTTCTTAATGTGCGTAAAATGGCAGATTAATATTAGAAGACTTTCTAAAAAGAAGCTTCCACCAGGTAACTCCTATCAAAGTGTTCAGTGGCTTTGTTGCTAAGATTGTGATATTACTAACCCAGGATACTTTTTACATGAAAGGAACTGTTACAAATGAGCAGAAACCAAACCAACCAAACCAAACCAAAATACAAACACTCTAAATTTGAATTTCAAAAAAACAACATGATTTGGTATGTCTCATGCTAAAACATAGTTTAAAACTAAATTGGGTACCTTATATTTGTATCTGGTAAATCTAGCAACCCTAACTATGAAGCCATTCTTGACTGCCCACCTTACTGCCACAAGGCTCTGTTGTTATTCTGAGCTTCTAATCAAGGAGTATAATGTGTGAGCAAATTTTTGGAGAAGTGGACATTAGGAACAATGACCGTAGCATCAGGGGGACTACTTTTAAACTGAATTTCACACTTCATACTTCATTGGACCATAGACAACTTCTCTCATACTTTTATCTGGTTTTATCCATTTTTGTATCCACTTCTCCCTGACATGAAAACATTAACATTCTTACATCTTTTTGTAATTCCATAATGCCTCACAGAAGCTCCTGTCCACAAGTTGTAATCATAAACACTTGATAATAAAGAAATGGATTTAAAATCAATGGTCAAGACAACCAACAACTACTTACTAAACAACTATTTTCCATTCTTCCCATAACTATTTTATGAATTATTTCATAGATGAGTCAGATCCAGTGTTTGCCTTCAAAGAACTTGTAGTTTAACAAAAATTATGTATCAAACACCAGTAGCAAATGACCTTAAACAGTATAAAATCAAGGTTGTCTAATATAGTCCACTAAGAGCAATAGGAAAGCAGTATGGGAGGCACCTGAGAGAGAAGTACTGAGAGAGGAGATCCAGACTGGGACTCACACTCTGGAAAGAACTTAGATGAGCAAAGAGTATTAGGCATGACATTGCACCTGGACAAAAGTTTGTGCAAACACCCCAGGTGGAGAGGGAGCCCTGCTCCCCAGGAATGCACCTTACTGAGGGAGATGATCAGGATTCACTGGCACTGTGGTTGTCCCTCCGAATCTACACAGTGGCCGCCACTAGCCAGGGCCATGCCATGTAGAGGCATCGCCCTCGTAAAAATAACACCCCAAGGTAAGGATGCTATTAAAGAAACAACCTGCAGAGAAGCAGCTGGTTTGTCCTTAGAGAGATTTGCCCTATCTAGACAGGGAAAACCAACATTTCATCAGTTTTCTTTTATAACTATAATATAGATGGGATGGCTTGTAAACAACAGAAATTTACTTCTCACAGTTTTAGAAGCCGAAAGTCTGAGATCAGGGTGCCAGCATGGTAGGGCTCTGGTGAGGGCTCTCTTCAGAGGTGCAGACTGTTGACTCATTGTTGTTGATCTTCACACTGCAGAAAGAGATTGAACTAGCTCTCTGGCCTCTTGTGAAAGCGATAATCCCATTCACGAGGACTCCACCTTCATGACCTAATCACTTCCAATGACCCCACTTCCAGATGCCACCACACTGGGGATTACATTTCTACATAGGAATTTGGGGGCAGGAGAGTACAAACATTCAGTTCATAGCAATAATTATTGTTCTTTACACATAGGGTTCTAAATGCATCAGTCCCTAATAATATTTGCACTCCCCTCTCTTACTAGCTTCAAGCATAAGTATGACAGTGGTCTTACTAAAAATTACTAAATTTAATTTCCAAGAAACAAAAGACAGATGTTAAGGAGTATTTGCTTTGATAGAAATTCATGTTCTACAGCTTTAATATGTTACTAGTTTATGAGGTGAAAAATCTTTTATTTTTATGTTTGGATTGTTTCTTCTTGATAAAGTTGGTATCTATGAAGTGTTTTTAATACGCAGTCATCTTTCAGTATCCACAAGAGATTGGTTCTAGGACTCCTTATGAATACCAAAATCTGCAGGTTTTCCAATCTCTTCTTTAAAATGGTGTCCTATTTGCATATAACCTACACATGTCCTCTCATATGCTTTTAAGACCTCTCTACATTACTTACAGTGCCCAATGCAATGTAAATGCTGTATAAATAGTTGTTACATTATAGTAAGGAATAATGACAATAAAACGTCTATATGTTCAGCACAGAAGAAGTATAGATGCATATATATTTGTTGTTGTTTTGGCTTGCAGCATTGGTGATTGAACCCAGGGCCTCCCACTTGCTAGGCAAGCACTCTACCACTTGAATCACATCCTCAAAACTTTTGTTTTTGAGATGAGATCTTCCTAACTTTTCTTGGACTGTCCTCACACCCATAATCCCTCTGTCTCTACCTCCTGAGTAACTGGAATTACAAGTGTGTGCCACCATGCCCTGCTACAGAATCAATTTTAATGATAATAGTCTAATTTTAATTTCATGATTAGTATGCCAGTCCAGAAACATTTTCATTTCAAAGATTTTTGGTCTGCAGCTAGTTGAATCCATGGATGTAGTAGCCAGAGATATGGAGCGTTAACTGTGCTTAATTTTGAAAACATTTTGAATACCATATTACATTTGCTTACCAAAAAAGTGGCACTTATGTGAAAAGCCTGGTTGTTAGCTGGTTATGAAAGTGTTGTCCTCTGACAAACATTGTGATTCACACCAAACATGTACAAAGAGATCTGCTTAGGCCTTTATAAGTGATGTACCTTCATTAGCCAAGTCAAGAAAGAAGACAGAGAAATTTGGTCAGCCTTCTAAAATTGCAAAGGCTTTTAATAAATTTTTTTTCAAAATGGGTGTCATCAGAACTTCTATGATACATGGCAAATTGGGCTGCTTATCTTAAGGAAATAAACTAGAAAAGATTTTTTAAAAGTTGAATTAATGAAATTGACAATATTTGATCTTTGCACATGGTTCAACCACATGTCAATGTACTCAGCCCTATGGCCCACTGGGCCTCATCCTAAAAGTAGAGATAGAAGACCTATTGGCAGTCTTGAGATAGAGGCCCCATCTTTGTCACTGGCCATCTGTGACTTTGACCTCTGTGAGGCTGTTCCCTCATTTATAAAATTGGTGGTGGGGTGGGTGGATCACTGACTACATCATCTCTTAGAAACTTGTCAATCTAACATTCTATGACTCTAAAGCATCTGGTTGTTGAATCTGTTTCCTGCTGGCCAAAAAAAGATGCACCTGTTAACAATGTCCAAATGCACCTTCTGAGAATTCCCAGGTACCCATTGTTCCTTGGGTTACAGTGATAACTAAAAGACCCTACCAAGATGCAGATGTTACCTATGAGGTTCAATATACTAGGCCTTAACCACCTGTTTACACCTCGTCCGAGTCAATGCATAATATATCATCATTTTCTTCCATTTTCCCTAATTTATTAATTTCACTAAATAATCACAAAGCTGAGAGGATCCTACCTTTCTATCCCCACCTGTTGGTCTGGAGGCACTTGTCCTGGTGATAACCAATAGCAGTGAGATGCTGGCCAAGTTTGTGTAGGCAGAGCCTCCCAGGGGAGGAAGGAGCAAATGAAATGGGGAGGGAGCGTGAAGGAACAGGACCAACACAATCTGAACTCCTGCAGCTGCTTTGCAAGGTTGGCACACACACTGGGTTGCAGAGGGAGGAAAAAACATCCTCACCAGACCTCACTTCCAGGTGTGGGTGGGAAGAGGGAGAGATGTGAAAATGTATTTAGGGATAAAGAGAACAGACCAACAAAGGTCCCTAAGGATGCATCTGCTTAGTAACTGTCCAGATGAATTTTACAGCTATCCCCAAATGAGCCCTCCCAAATTTTACTTCCGTGCGATAGACCTGTGTGCACATTTATAGGAATGGGACTGTCTGCTAATTTTATCTGTTTCCTCTTCTTCTATATTTCTATTTTCCCTTCAACCCTGCCGGATTTTAATTCCTCTTATTCCCCGCCCCCTTTTTAATCTAGTTCCCCTCCTCACTCTTTGTCTAAACTGCTATAATACACAATTCATGTGCTCTGTAATACAGAATATGCTCTTCAGAGTTCTGTTTACATCATTTGTTCATATTTTGTGAAAGAAAGCAAAGCAGCAGTACCTGGTGATATTCATTCTGCAAGAGGCTAGAATTGTTCTTCAGACTTAGAGAAAGCTATAGGAAGAAATTCAGAAAATGACAGATACTAATCTCTAGTCTTCTGTTTCAGCCTACAAGGAAAAGATGAAGGAGCTGTCCATGCTGTCACTGATCTGCTCCTGTTTCTACCCGGAACCTCGTAACATCAACATCTACACCTACGATGGTAAGCTGTCCACAGCAGAAACACCTCTGCTTGCATCATCATCTGCGAAACCTCGCGTGTGCTTGTTCCTCTCTCAGAGCCCCTGACATCAGTACATCAGCATTTTAGAGATCTCACCATTGACCTACTGTGACTAGCTATTAGGTCTTACTGATCACCTATTGCTCTAAACTGTTTGAACTTGATGCTGGTAACAGCACATTACTGTCTCTCAAGAAAAACGGCTGGGTTGTTATTACCAACCACATCCAGCCTATCAACATCCACAGTACGTCTAAGGCTTTTCTCTGCGAGTAATGTAATATGCTAAGCAGCAATTAGACTAGATTGTAAACTGAAATTCTTTATACTTAGAACACTCAAGAGAGAAAATCAACCATCAATGTTTTCCTTCATAAAGTACCCATATTTTGTATATTAACTCAACAAGTTAATAACAGTAATAATTAATTTTAAACATTGACTTACAACTGAGGCCCCAGGTAGAAAGGGTTTTAAAATACAAACCTAAAGAGCTGGCATGACAGTTACCAGTACGAAGTATTTAGGTTTGATTTCTTCTGACAGATGGTACTTTGCTTGGTTTCCTTTCTAGCTCTGTCACTACTCATGTGGCAAGTGGATACCTAGACTCTCTGTGCCTTTTTAACACTGGCATTTCTTCCCGAGGCTGCTGTGACTGTAAATGGCTTGATACAAGTCAAGCATTCATCAGGACCAAGCCTGGCCCCTATCAGCACTCAATAACGGTCGCTATCATTATCAACAATATCATTCACCCAATTTAATCAATTTAATCAAAATGTTTGGTCCAGTTCCTTGTGAACTAGAAATATGCTGAGGCATATTTTCCTACCTATTAGACCCATGATTATTTATCCTTTTCTTATATGTAAAAAAGACATTGAAGACAAGGAAAAGGGACCTATGGCAGTTAACCCCTTCTGTGCCTTTAAAGCCTATTTAAGGACTCAAGAGCATTTTCCTTCCAAGGTCATGGCACAAGCATCCTCGGAGCTGATTTGCTGTTCTGAAAGGAAATGCCTTCCCTGTGAAGGAATTTTTGGTTCCTAGCCAAAACTTTCATTAGAATAGAGGCCCAGTGCTCACTTTGTTTAATTTCATTCTGTCAACAAATAAACTACACAGCTGTTTATTATCAGCTAAATATAGATAGCACTAGAAATCTGGCAATATTCCTTATAAGACTCTAAAATCTAACTCTGTGTTGTCACTGGGGGTCCAAAGATGAATACAATGTGGTCCTTATCTTCAAGGGAGCTGGGCTTACTAGAAGAATCTTACATACAAAAGATCAGTAAATAGAACTCAGAGTGGGTGGGACAGAGAATACCATGGTGGTTTCTGCCACTTAAGAATTGAGGAGCAGGTAGAAGAAAAGCAGAAGCTATGATACATGGCTGACTCTTAGAAGTTGAATAGATGATTCAACATTGTTCATGCATTGCTTCCAAAGAAAAGTCACTTAGAGAATTTCAAATTTTTTAAGTCTTTAACTTGGCCTTGTGTTCCTATCTTGATAATAATGTGAATTATTTATTGTAGTCAAACATTGTAACAAGTATTTTATTATCATTTTTTACATGTATAGTATAAGTGCCATGGCCTGGGCTTTATACTCAATATGCTTTATCTTCAAAACAATTTTATGAGGAAAGTGCTTTTTTTCATTTTGTTGTTTTTTGGAGCAGATTCTCATTATGACCTCCTGCCTCTACTCCACGCCCAGCATGAAGGTGCTCTTTTTTAGTTTTTCTGCAATACTGGGTATTAAACTCAGGACTTCAAGCTTACTTGCTCTTTCACTTGAGACACACCTCCAGCCCTTTTTTCTCTGGTTATTTTTGAGATAGGGTCTCACTTTGTGCTTGGGCTGGCCTGGACCTAAATTCTATTTGTGCTTCCCTGAACAGATGGAATGACAGTCACCATTCCATCATGCCTAGCCATTGGTTGAGATGGAAGCTTGCATACATTTTACTTGAACTGCAATCCTCCTGATCGCCATCTCCTGAGAGTAGCTAGCATTACAGGCATAAGCCACCAAGCAATGCCCAAAGGAGCTCTTTTCATCTGCATCTTTTAGATGTGGAAATGAAAGCTCAAAGAACTTAACCTTGCCAATATCATACAGCTATCAGAGGCACTTACTATTCTGATACTTACTATTCTGATATTCTGGAAGTTCTGATTCCAGAGTCTCTAACATAAGCCATTGAAAGATCCACCCTAGTCCCTGATAAGCACTGTTCTCTCTCTATTTTCATGAGTTCAACTTAGTTAGATTTTTACATGCAAATAAGACCACGCATGTAACGTTTGTCTTTCTGTGCCTGGCTTATTTCCCTTAATATGGTGCTTCCCAGGTTCACGTATGTCATCACAAATGGCTGTATTTCCTTCTTAAAGGCGGAACAGTATTCCATGTGAATATATACAAATTAGATGAGTGTTGCCGCCCCCACCCTCCACCACCACACCGCCTCTTTCCCTGGCTCCTGTCTGCAGCTGAGATACCCTACAAGAGGATAATCTAAGTAGCAACAAACCAGGAACAAAGACACTACAGGACTGTGTCTGTTGTCCCCTATAGACTGTAAGCACCTTGAAAGCAAGGATCCCCATGACAGAGAAGACACTACACCTACTTGATCACTGAGAGTAGCAGACTGACAGACAAGACAGGAACCAGAGGGATGCTTTGCACATTGCCATTGACTCTGCCAAATATCCCCAACTGCTCAGGGAGTTTTATTGTTTCTAACAAGATTCCCAGCCACAAGTATGGTTGTATTATAATGACATACACATGTATGTCTCACGCATGTGAGAAATCTGCTGTTTTCTTCATCATCTAGCCAAAATATGCCTCCAGCCATGGTAATTTCCAAAAATAAATCCATACTACTTGGTTTTTATTCAAAGCTCATATTTATTCAAAAGGAAAATAAGGTTTAATTTAAAATCGATTCAGGCTTTTTCTAAATATGCCTGCCATTATTCAATTCCTTGTAGACATTATTTTCTTGACAATGTAAATATTTACTCTATTAAAATACATCCCACAGTTATGCTAAAGAGAGAGTTCTTACATGTTCAAAACAATGCAGAGCAAATTATCAACTGCAGCATTTTATTTATTTTCTAGTATAACAATGCTATTTCAATTCTAGAATACTAATTATTAAAATAAGCCTATTCTTCAAGATTTACGTGCTTGCCGAGCTCTTCAGGCTGACCATTCTCCAATGTTCATTTCTTAGATATGGAAGTGAAGCAAATCAACAAACGTGCCTCCGGCCAGGCTTTTGAGCTGATTTTGAAGCCCCCATCTCCCATCTCAGAAGCCCCGCGAACTTTAGCTTCTCCAAAGAAGAAAGACCTGTCCCTGGAGGAGATCCAGAAAAAGCTGGAGGCTGCAGAGGAAAGAAGAAAGGTAACTTTTCCAGAGAATTTAAGTTCTTTTCTCTCCTCTCCTCCTCCTCTCTCCTCTCCCCCCACTCCCTTCTGTTTCAGCTTCTCTCTTCTCTCTCTCTCTCTCTCTCTCTCTCTCTCTCTTCAGGTACAGGTTACAGGGGACAATGACTGCTGAAACTACACCATCCCAACATATATGTCTCCCATAGAGATAGAGCAAGGCTTGTTGGAATAAACAAAAACTTCCTCAGTTGCAGGAAGATAAATTTTGATTGTAGGCTGGCCCAAACGTGAGCTCTGAGACACTAAAAGAGTTTCAACGCCCTAGTGCTTCTCCTCCTTGAGGGGATAGGAATGGTGATCCCTCCCTCTCCAGGTCTGTGTCACATCCCCAGTGTAATGCATACGTTTTCTTGGAACTATCATTTACCAGATCTTTCTTCCACAGATCTTTCAGCTCTCGTTTGTCCCCAGAGCAAAGGTCAGAGCTTATCCCTTTCCTCCTTAAAGCCTCATTCTGCCCTTGAAGTTAATTCTTCTGAGACCAGGACCTTCTCTGAGATCTTTGGGTATCTTCCTCTATCCATTTCCAAGCCATGATGGGACTTTTTTCTCTTTTTACCCTTGACTTCTGCTTACAGAACTTCTCTTTTGCCAAATCTTTAATTTTCCACAATCAGTTGCTAAGAAAAGCCAAAGGCATTAAGAGTTAAGGACACCTAGAAATCCTAGCAACTCTATACATATAGAAACTATGTCTGAAGACTTCTGTTCCAACCATGTGGTTATGGCAGTCCAGTCAATCCTATCAAGGTACTCTTGATCATCCAAAAATGGAATTCATATAGGTAATTCATTCCTATATTATATTTTCCACTTACATTTTCATTATATATTTTTAGACCCACTAAGAATATACTATATACCCAATCTTAAAATATGAATGGAAACTCAACATTTTAATACTTTTTTATTTTATGAAGATATCTATTAAAAATCTACTAAAACATTAGACACTTCTGTGTTGTACAATTGCAAAGAGAATGAACAGTGTCCTATCTCTAATGACTGAATTATCCACAGATAATGTAGGACAAACATGAACGTGTGGGGGGGGGACAGGTGCATATGTATACATATGTACACAAATATATGTGGTATCCAAAAACAAGACTCAAAGACTAGAAGCTCTCAGATTAAATTTCTGAACAAGAAAATACAACTTTTGTGTCTAAAAAAAAAATCTTATGATTGTAACATACTAATCTCAATTTCAATTTTTCTCTTAAGAGTGAGATTGTGTAAGTATCTAATGAATATTTACATATGTATATGTACACTTTTTTAACCAATTACTGTTACAATTTTATATTTAAAAAGGAGGAAACTGAGCCAGGTGTGGTGGTACATGCCTGTAATCCCAGCTACTCAGGAGACAGAGGCAGGGGGCCAGCACAGGAAAAGTTAGCTAGACCTTATCTCTAAAATAAAAGGGCTGAGGGCATGGCTCAAGTGGTACAGTATTTGCCTAGTGACCTCAAGTTCCTCGGTTTAATCTCCAATACCACAAAAAAATATATAGGAAGAAGCTGCATACATACTCAAGAAGCTGTACATACTTCAGTGTGTGTACAGGAAGTAACTTTTTTAAATCATCTTTTGGTTGTTATTTATAGCTTTTTTCCTTAAATGAAAGCTATATCAAATTATTTAGTTACAATCTATCAAAACTTTGCTGCCAATAGATATAACCAAGTAACTAAAACCCTGGAGGCACTGAGGCAGTTTAAGTTCTCACTCAAGCATTAGCATCTTACAGGTAATACGGTAGAAGGAAAAGCACAGGTGTAGATCAGAAATTGACACAGAGATTAAAATACAAAGTCAGTGACTGAGCTGAAATTAAAACTCAGAGACCAAAGTTCAGTAAAATGGGTCATGACATTGATGGTATTTCTAAGTAAAGTGTTTAATTCAAAGGAAATTATTGAAGGAAAAAGAACACAGATGATCAAAGTCAAGTAGGTGCTAATTTATAAAACTTATCAAATTCCCCAAGGTCAATAACTTTGATAAAGCTCCTCCATGCTGATGGCAGTAGATTACCAATTAAACACTTAAACAACTAAATGGCTAGAAATTGACCATACAGCCAAGAGACACTCGCAAATGTTATCATCCAGCAGTATGATGCCCAGAAAAAAAATTATTGGAACCCTTTAAAAGCAGTATTGCATCATATTTTTAGTTAAAAATTTCGGTCAGAAGTCACTATGCAGAAATGTCCTAGTGGTAGAGTTGCAATTAGAAGAAACAACAACTAGTTAACAGAAAGTACCAACTTAAAGAGTCAGCAGTTGATTTTATTCTATTGGATTGTACTGCCTTAATCAGAACTCATTTGAGCTCTGCAGCAAGTGTAAATATCTTAGTGAGGACATGAAACTAACCAAAATCCAATTCAACTAGCTAAAACAAACAGAGGACATGTAACTAAAAAGTCTAGGAGTGGCTGAATTCAGGTGATTAAGCAGTATTGACAGAAAACCTGTCTTTTTATCTCTATCATTTCTCCTTGCTTCTAATTGGTTTCATTATCAAGGAAGTTTAGTTTCAGTCAGTCCCAAGTTCATTTTGTAGCAATTTAGCAACTCCAGCAGAAAGGCAACATTCCCTTCCCAATAGTCTCAAAGACCTATCTCTATCACCTGCTGAGCCCTGAGCCAATCACTGTGGGAAAGGGTTGCAGTAATTTGATTTGCAAACCTGGATCACCACTCACCTGCAGAGAAGTTTAGACAATATCACTGGCATGAGAGGCATGGAGGACTAAATCACCAAAAGAAAATTGAGGTGTTCTCACCAGAAGAAGGGGACATGGACATAGGCATGCAAAATTACAGTTGTCCACAATTTTTGCCTGGCATGTTTAGTATTACTATAACAAGTAGAATAATGATTTGGTTCATACACTATTCAGTTTTTATTTAATTTGCATCTTTCACACTGCTTACATCCTATGTGGTTGCTTTCATATAAATAGAGCAAAAAAAATTAATCAGTATGGTTATACACAACAGCCCTGTCCATTAAAAATATAAGCCACATGTGTATTTTCAATTTTCCTAGGAGCTAGATTTTAAAAAATAAAAAGAAGTATGTGAAAGTAGTTGTAATTATATGTTCTAATCCAATGTATTGAAAACGTTATTTCAATGTGTAAACAGTATAGAAGTATTCATGAAATATACCTTTATCTTTACAGTCTTTGAAATACAGCATGTAATATGTCAATTAATTTCAATTCATACTAGGCATATTTCAAGTTATAATTAACCATATGTGGCCACTGAGCTAGGTAGCACTGACACAGGTGACTAGACCAGAAACTTCTAATGAGTAATGGGGAAACTTTATGCCTTAGTTTTTCAAATTGGTACCAGATAATTATTCAACTTCAACTTTTTTAAATATGTCATCTTTCAAGTTTACATTGATATAGAAACCCAGAAAATTAAAAGAAACTTCCTTGTTATTATTCTCATAAACATACACACACACACACACACACACACACACACACACACACACGTATGTTATCAGGTATATATATAATCAGAACTCATACAGCTGAAGTGTAGGGCCCCTTAAATCTCATACTTTCTTCCTTGGCTACCTATGCTCTTTTTTTACATGTTGACTCTTCTCTATGACAAGGGGACTTCTTTTAGCCCAGGTTTCACTTCTTGTTCTGTCTCTTGGTACCCAGGCTCTCCTTAGTAGCACTTAGCTAGTGACATATGGTAAGCATATGTTTATCTGCAAATTTTTTGTGTTGTTTCTTTGATACAGCCCAGGCTGTATCAAACTCTCCACCTTCCTGCCTCAGCCTGCAGAGTGCTGGAATTACAAGTGTGCATCACAAAACCCAGTGTTATTTGAATATTTGTTATTTAACCCTAGATCTCCCATTAGATTATAAACTCCATAAAGGTAGGGACATGTGTCTTTTGCTTATTAGCACTAAAAAATACTTTCAAGTGAATAAATAAAGTATAACTCTTAAGGCCAAGAGTTAAAGTAGCAATATATAGCTTGTTTTGACTTTTTAATTCCACCCATCCATCCAAAAACAAAACTATAGTTAGTAAAATTCCAAATAACTCCTTCTGAAATTGCACTCAATAAACTCTATAATCCAAAGAATTCCTAATCTAGAGAAAGTTGCTCTACCCACAGATATTTACCTAGTACCACCATCCTCCCCAGCCTTACATTCCCATGAGGAATGGACAGCTAATACATATATATATATATATATATATATATATATATATATATATATATATATATATATATATATAATATGACAGACAACTGAGACCCAGGCTGTGTGTCAGGGGCTTCCTGGATTCATAGTTGGAGGACTGCCACAGAGGGGTCTCCACATGGGATCGAGCAGGCATCATGTTAAAAGTCCTGGTGGTTTCTCCAACTCCTCCCTCCATCTGCTGACACCACTGCTGCACTGACCATCTGGTCAGTTGGCTGGATGACACTCACTCAGGCTCTTTTTTTTTTTTTTTTTTTTTGTGGCACTGGGGATTGAACCCAGGGCTATGCAATTGTTCTCCCACTGAACCACATCTACATCTTTTAGTGTTTTGAGTCAGAGTCTCGCTATGTAGCTCAGGCTGGTCTCAATTTTGCAATCAAACTTCCTCCACTTCCCAGGTACTAGGACCTCAGGCTCTTTTGAACCAGAATTAATGCTCCATTGATTCACTAGTAGAAAAGCTTTTTGCAAAAAGAATACTTTTTTTCTGCTTTCCCTTCCTTTTTTAAGTATCTCTGGGAATCATTATTCACCTCTCTTGAGTTTATACTAATTTCAATCAGTTAAAAGTCCATTTCTTGATATCAAAGTCTCCATATTACAACTGACTGACCCACATGGGTGATATGAAGACCGTAGTCATTGATCCATCATTTATTCATTCATCCAACAAGAGAGAGAGC